ACAGAGTAGAGAGGGAGTTGCTGGAAATGCTCTTCATAGGGATTTTAAGCCTATGGACTATATCCTCACCCTAGTAATTATTGCCAGAGCAGACCTGAACATCTTTTTTCTTTCTTATCCTTTTAGAAGAAGTGACCTGGTTTAGTAGTGGAAACATACGGTTGGACTCAATGATCTTAAAAGCCTTTTCAAACCAAATGATTCTATGATTCTAAGTTACAAGAAAAGCAGAATCCCTCGAGGTTTTTTTAAAGAATTGTGTAAGTACAGCAATGACACGCAATCCAGGTGTGCCATCTCCAGGACTGCACGTACAATTGCAGTAACTACACAAATTGTCCAGGAGATCTCTTCTAAGCCCTTTCCATGCTGAGTTACTAAGCCTGCATGCATAATTTTAGCAAATGTTTTTATACAGAAAAGATAAAGCCTCTGTTTGCTTTACCTTGCCAACTGGAATTACCTCCTCCTTATCTGGATGTAGCCTCAGCCACTGCCTTCTCATCCAGGCTCCTATCTCAGGCAACATTCTGGAAGCAGAGAAAAGCTCAGCATTTCACAATCTGCTGCTGCTTTCCTGTTGAGCTTAGAGTGCTCTGGCAGTTATATCCGTTTGATAAAAACCACTGGACTGTTTATCAATAAACTGGCCTACATCACAGTCCAAATTTGACATCAATTCAGCAGAACTTTCAACACCTTGTCACAACGGACCTCAGCCAACCATCGCTGTTATCCTCCAAAATCTTGATTCATACTAAAAAGCTTCAAAGAAATCAACCTATCTTGGATTTCCTCTGTAATGTTCAATCCAAGTGGCTGAAGCAGAGCCGTGGTCCTTTAAAGTTTAAAATGGTTCTTTTAAACAGTTTCAATAATATGTTTGGGTTTATTTTTCTAATTCAGAATGTGTTACTATGGAAAGCACCCCTGCTCAACTTAGGACAAAAAAGTATTTCCTTCAGGCGGGTGGGGTTTCTCAACCGTTCCCACCATGCTGTCCTCCCTGTTTTTCTTCAGAGCTGGGTGAAGCTTGTTTGAAAGTCCCTGTGTAAACAAATCAAAATGCTTTATTCAACAGGTCTTTTTTTTTTTTATTTCTTTTTAAAGATTAAAACCATAAAGACTGAAATCCACTGAAGCTGAGTAATTTTACCCCTCATTCTTACTTGACAACCACCTGAATTAATTTTCATACCCTTCCTTATAATTTTGTAACTCATGTGTGAGAACACTCTCCTCCCCGGGATACTTAAAGGGAATTTAAAAATGAAACATTGACAAATGTTTTGTTTCTTTAAATCAAGTTTACAACAGTGTAAATTGGCAGTAAATCCTTTAATTTAACTGAATTTATTTTGGATTTTTACCATAGAACTGTGGCCTTCAAAATATTTTCTTGGAAATCGTGTTATAAATTATGATAATCCAGTAATATACACAACTTGCATTTTCTTCTGGATCTTGACTCCCACCCCAAAGTTTTTGATACTTGCATCTATGCTAAATGAGCTTTTTAACAATTACTCCAAACAGACCTGTTAAAGCAACCACAGCTGCAATTAATTATCAAAAATAAATCAAAAGATTGGGACTACTTAGATGGCTCTATACATCTACTTCAGCTGGGAACGGTAGGAAAAAAACCACAATGCAAATGTAAGAAGCCTCCACATACTATAAAATTAAATGGAGCATCACTGTGTCTGCCTGCAAGGTTTTAAAAATATAAAATAAATCAAGTACAGATTAGGTCTGTTTGCGGCAGATCTCCCTTCACGGGTGATTCACATCTTTATCATGCTTGTTTTATTACAATATTTACTATAACTAATCTGACAATACCATAGATATGCATGTAACAAAGGTAAACAATAGCCTAGACCCTTCCTCAGTGAGCTGATCGTAAACGAGGCATGCACGAAGCAAAGTTTGTGTGCAAACTGCATTTTATCTTAATTCTCACCTTGTTTTTTTTTTTTTACTTTGCACATTTGCAAACCAATCGAGTAGTAGATGACGCCTGTACTTCTCTTTCCACACAGATTCTGCATCACTGTAATTCAGCCAGTCGGCCAATTGCCAGATTTCTGGTTGCGGTGTTCCCTATACACAGAAACCATTCTCAGTTTGGGAACAACAGAGAGCGTAGCTGAAACCTCCCAGATGGTCCAGAAATGTAACAATTTTGGAAAAACACAAGAACAAGAGAGAGATTATAGTTCTGGCTGCTGCTGTTCTTTCCAGCTTGCTGCATGACAGCCATGTCTCTCTTGCATAAATCAGAGCTGGGACATGGCCAAGGAGAAACTCTGTTTCTGGAATGGTCCAGAAAAGATTTTGGCCACACTGGTTAACTGCTGGGAGCAAGGTTTAGGGTTTATGTTTCCTTTTGTACGAGTAGTTTTTGCCTTTCCGTCTGCAGTTTCCAAAAGAAACCATCTCACTGTCACAGAGCTTGTATTTTGAAGTGTTTTCTTTAACCCCCTAGAGAAAAAAAGGTATTTTTAATTAAATGCTAAAGTTTTACTGAAATTTATGCTCATGAAATAGCATGTGCTTATGAAATAGCATGTGCACGTAAAACTGGATGCAGATTCTGTGAAGGGTTCAGAAGGGAAACAAAAGTGATGTAGGTCAAAGTTATTTCTCTTTAGTTTTACACCTGAACAGCCCATCATTTCTGAAAGCCTACGCCATAAGAACTTTCCTTTAGTTGTGCTGTTCAACCCACAAGAAATGATTCATTCTGTTCAACTTAGTAGCTTTATAATAAACTGTACATTTTTAAAACCTTGCAGGATCAAATCCCTAAAAAGCTTCACAAAGTTTGGTCCTCTTAATGCCACAGTGTGAAGCAGCAGAGTTTGAGGCTTTTTTTTCAACTGCTTTAATATACAGAAAAGTGATAGCTGTACAGAAACCAGGTTCTGCTCTGCAACAGTAAGCATCTCTACTATGCTATAGGGCATACATACATTATTATTTTGGCAAATGTGACTTCTAAGCTGCCCAAGACTATCAGCTGTATTTAAAGGATACGTCACAGAAGAATGAAACGTGAAGGAATGACAATCTTGTTTTGTTAGTAGATGAGAATAAACCCCAGTATCTCTTGTTTATGCTCAATATTAAAATACCTGAAGCTACGTCTGAGCTCCCTGCTGCAATTAAGCATGAAGTTGATACAGGCTGCCCACATGACCAGGAGCTACTTACTGCTTATAAGACACGTCTGACCTGTGTTAAATACAATTCCCTAACCATGATCAATGGGCTTGTAAACTGTGATCGAGCCCGAATGAATAATGATGTTTACAGGCAGCAGCTCTTTTCAACTTCATCAGGTACCCAGCTCTTCTTTTTAAGTTACAGGAAGCTGTATGTTGAGGACAGTAAATTAGCCACCCGAAAAACACTCAGAGTCAAACCAAGAATTCATTATGTTTGCAATTGAATTCTACTATACAAAAAAAAAAAAAAAAAAAAAAAAAAACTGGGTTTTAAAGGCAGCAGAACTTGGTGGGGAGGAAGTAAAATTAAATTTAAACCCCGTTTAACATCCTAAGATCCCATGCTGTTTGTACATCTCCCGACAACCTGTTTTCTGATCATGTAGCTGCTCAACACAAATCACGTGCCAAATTTCAACCTCCTCTTACTCAGCTCAGGACTACCTTAAATACGTTACACTGTGAATGCAACAGGCACTTCTTACACAATATTGTAAACTAGAGCAAAGGCTTCTTGGTTGACTAGTTGAGTATCTAGTCTTGTCACCGTTTCAGTAAAACATTCTCAATGCTGCGTCAGGTTCCTCATGAAAATTCAAAAGTACTCACCCTAACGAGACTAAAAATCCCCCAAAGGTAAATGCAGACTTTCAAAATGATTTTAAGAGAGTAACCAGGAAATATTGATCAAAGCAGGTGGCAAGATGAAGGCCAGGAGCTGAGGTGTGCTCTTCTGCTCCCGGCTGCCCAATGGACCCAGCAAAAATGGGGACACTTCCTTCATCCCTGTGCTTTCACCAACACTGTCAGCTTTTTACAGCCTCCCTTTTTTTTGCTTTGTGCTCTGTAAGCTGTAACACAGAAGAGGTGCAAGGAGTGACCAAGGTTTTAACCAGTGTCTTGAGGCCTGCCTCAAGCGGTGTCAGACGAATGCCAGTTGAACTGTTCCTCTTCACCATCCCGGGGGGGGGGGCCTATTTTGGCCTCCAGCCTTTGGGACACACGCAGTCGGGTAAAGCAGCCATCATTTTACCTTTTCTTAACTTTTCTGTGTGCTGTTTGGGGCAGGGACCCTGCTGCTCCAGGGCCACCCGTACCTCTGTGGGAGAGGGATCACGCTCCAGCCCACCTTCAGCTGGGAGAAACCCAAACCTCCTCCTTGAGCGAACCTAACTAGCCAAGAATAAATGCTAATCCCCTGAAGTGCGTCAACAAGCCCCGATGCTATCACCCCGAGAGGAAATACATTTTTGGTATGTGTCAGGCCCAGGGATTAGCCATGGGAAATGGCGAACACGCACCCACGGGGAACTGCGGTCTCTTCCCTAACGTTGTCACAGGATAAAACGTCGGTACAAGCCA